TTCCTGCTGTGTTTTCACAAAAGTGTCTTTAAGTGCTTTTCTAGGTTTCTGATGGATTCTTGATTTAGTCATACTAGTAAATATTTAGCAAAAGGGATGCATTTGTTTTAGATGACAAAAAAATTGTTAATGATATGAAAATGCAGTTATGAATCTTGTGAGGACAAAGAAGGATTAAAAAACATTTGTGGCTATCTTAATTGTAATATATGTTTTTAGGGAGCTAGAAATACGGAATTGTAAAGTTTTTTTTTTTTTAATCTTCCTTGTACATTTTCAGCTCTGTTATGAAAGGCCTTTAATACTTGGTTGGCAAGGAGTGCCAGTCTTACTCAAAAAATGCCTTTGAATTTTTGCACTCAGAGCTGCTGCATCTTTTAACTGCTGAGTGTGTATAAACTTTGGAAAGCTCTGTTCTTTTTATTCCATAAGAGGAACCTGTGTTTTTGAGGGAAAATGCATTAATTTCAGTTGCGTTTTATTTTTCTGTGACTAGGAGCAACAGTGTTTATTGAAAGATTAGTACTGAGGTTGCAAAACCTTGCACTTAATAAGGTTTCTCCTCAGACTCCTCTTCTCCAGACTAAACAGCCCCAGTTCCCTCAGTCACTCCTCATGAGACTTGTTTTCTAGACGTTCCCTCACCAGCCTCGTTGCCCTTCCCTGGACACGGTCCAGCACCTCAATGTCCTTCTTGTAGTGAGGGGCCCAAAACTGAACACAGTACTCAAGGTGCGGCCTCACCAGTGCCGAGTACAGGAGCACGATCACTTCTACATTAAATGTAAGGAGATATCTAAACCTTGCCAGCATCTTCCTGTTGCTCTGGGAGGCAGAGCCCGTGAGGGCACAGGCATGTATCCACGCCATGAGCAGGTGAGATGTGCAGGTGCTGATCCTTTGCTGGGCAAAAACGCCTGTGCAGTCCGGGGGCACAAAACTCTGGAAAACTGAGGAGTCTGGTCAGTTACGGTCGAGGTGACTAGGTTATAAAGTCATTTAATACTGCGCAAGTCCTCACCACTTGCATTCGCTTTCGTTCAAAGGCTTGTCTGGAAGAGAGGAAAGCTGTGATGAGATAAGGGCTCTCCAGCTTTCCTAGGGATACCTACATCTTACTAGTTTTTTTCATAACCATTTTGTCCTTTGATCACCAGCTGCTCCCCGTGCCTGGAGTTGACGTGACTGGGCCTCTCTCCTTTGGTGGTTGGTTTGTCTTGGGGGCTGCAAGACCCCTCTGAGCCCATAGCTGGGGGTCAGGGCACGCTTGCGTGCAGCCTGCATTGCATGCTCATGTCCCCACCGCAGGGACGGGGCTGGGCTGGGCTCCTCTCCGAGCTGGGAAGACCCAGAGTCATGTGCATCCCGCCCAACTTTCATTAGTCCTTCTGAAAGTGGGCCGCGGAGCCCGGGGGGTGTGAGGCTGGAGAGAGAGTCCTCCCGAGGGAGGCCGGCCCTGTAACCTACTTGGTGATGGCGCTCGCCGGGGGAGAAGACCTGGGCAGCCCCTCTCTGTGGGTTTGCTGGGTTGTCCTTTAGAAGTGTCTCTGCATTTACTTCCTAATGAGCCCTCGTATGCTATTAGGATGCTTTTAATTACCCTGCTGGGTAACCTCACCCCATTAATGATTTTGAAGCAAGTGCTCTGGATTTCGCTAGTGTTGGTCTGCTGTGATCTTTAATAGCGAGCTTGACAGATCCTTTTTTTTTCTTCTTAAATTTTCATTTTAGGTAAAACACAGATTATAGTCTGTTTACGTGTGAAAATGAGAATGAAATGGTCATTGTGATGCAGGTCTGATAGAGGTCTGTATAACAGATTTAGAGTAATAACTTTAACTAGCTTAAACTTTGAAAGCGGCTTCCCAGTATTGCGTATCATTTATCATGCTTATATGCGAGTTATGTGGATATTTTCTGACATGGAACTCTTTCTTTCAGCCTTTCTTCCAACTTGTGAAGTTACGGAAACTTGGACTTAGTGATAATGAAATCCAGCGGCTCCCTCCAGAAATAGCGAATTTCATGCAGCTGGTGGAGCTTGATTTGTCTCGAAATGGTAAGCTCAAATATTAATTCGTTTGATTCTATACCGTCCTATGGCATGGTCTATAAAACTGGGTTCAGAGGGTTTTTCTGTCTCTGAAGTTGCTATCTATGTCCTGCAGAACGCTTCTCCGTGTAATTCGTGGGCTTGCCTGTAGTTCTAGATACGGAGGAGGGCAAGAGCAGTGGTGGAAATACAGTGGTAAAATAATGCTTGACTGTAGTTCTGCCTTTCTGAGAGCCTGCTTTATTTTCCGATTAAAGAATGCTTTACATCATATTTTTGTCTGTTGATTTCTTTCCCCAAGCTTTCTGAAATGCCTAGAATTTAAGAAGAAAAAAAAAAGAGATGTTGAAAGAAAAAAGCCCCTTTCTGTCCAGAAAAAGGCTGCCTGTGGGTTAGAAGTCCAATTCTTTATCTCTGCTCTCCTCTTTACCTGTGATTAGCAAGAGGCAGAGGGCTGGTACTTCTGGTTGTACTTCTGGAAGAAGAATCAGTCTGTTTGTCACCTGCAGAGATAAATTCAGAAGAGGATGCTGGGAGAAACTGTCTTTTAAAATGCGTTGCTGGCAACCACATGGGTTTATCATGTGGTTGTAATGTTTGCTGCTTATATGGTCCTGAGCTGTGATGGAGTGAAAATATTTTTTTTTTTTTTTTTTTTTGGTGGCCTGGTGAACTTACCAGTTCTGCAAGAAGTTCAGGGGCTGGTGGGTCACCTTTAAGCAGCCTTGTGACCCAGTGATCTAGAAACAGTGAATCCGTGTTACCGAATTAGAACAACTGTCAGCTATTTTTGCCTCCTTATGTGCAGTGGATATGCACAAAGTGCTCTCTGAGGTGTGATGGATGGGGTGGAGAGAGCAAGGTTGTGTAACCTTGTAAATAAGCGTGGGATGTAACTGAATATTCAAGAGGAGAAATAGTGTAATGGGGAGCCTTTTTTGCTTTACAGTTTAACTTCGTATTAACCCTTTGCCATTGAAGGATGGCCGCTTCACTTTCCTGTAACTACCCAAAATTTGCATCATGCCTTTATTAGTCTGGTTCTTTTAATGCCGTCTTTATCTGATACTATAATTGATGAAGTGTCATGAGTCTCCAGGCAGTTGCTGAAAAATTTCTGAGACCCATATAATTTTATCCATGTTTGCAAGACCTTGTCAGAGAAGAAAACTGGAAAAAAAAAACATGGGAGACAAGAAACACATTAGTTAAAACATTTTTAGAAATATGCGAGCATTAATTGATGCTGTATTTTGGCCACTGGGTTTGGCTGAGTTGGGTGGTGTCTGTGACAGACCTTACACAAAAGGAAACACGCTGTTGGCTTCGTAAATTCTCTTTGCAAATGAATAACTAGCTGCAAAAGAACTGGTGGATCAGAGCCACGTGAACTCTTGTCAGCCTGACTTGGAAGCTGGGTTGAGAGCTCAACTGTGACGAGAACAGGTGGTGTGAACATTTATGGTTGAGTAGATGCGTGCGTGTCATTAGAAGTTACTGCAAGGGGAAGTGTTTTCGCAAGTGATGGGTTGGACTAACGCAGGTGGCAGGGAGCAGTTGCTTTCCTGTATCCAAGGTTCAGTGTTAATTGCCCGTTTTATTGCCTTACTTTCTCTTCTCTGTGGTTCATTGCAGAAGGTGACTGATACTGCTTCCCTCAGCTTAATCATGCCACAGTTATTGCGCAGCTTGACTCTCCAAATGAAAAAGGCACCGTGCGAGGTGATGCAGGGGGGCCATGGCAGATGACGACTAATGTTACTTTCCACTGGTCACGTTATGGTTGTCTTGCAGCTCTTCAAATTAAAAGGCAAAACACACGCCATCTGGGATGCTGCAGGGCAAATTCTCACATAAGATTTTGGAGATTTACAGTATTTTCGTTCCTTAGCTTTTTGTTTTGGACCCACCTTCCAATATGTCAGATTCTCAACCTGCCAAAGGTTTCTCCTGTTTGGAAGTTTGCACTCCATCAGTTTTTGTTTTAGTACTTAGAAAAAAAATTAGGAACTCTTTGTATTCTTTTCAGGCAGAGAAAAACAACCCAGCTTTTGAAAACGCAGTATGCTGCATGAATAGGGAAGTGTGATGGTGACATCTGAACTTGGGAAATAAGAGATCATTGTTCTGTGTTTTTTTGTTGTTTTAGCTGTCTGGTTCAGTGCACTAATTGCTTTCAGTTCTGGCCATTCTGTTTCCTCAAGAGCTTAAAAATACAAATATAAAAATCTAATGTTCTGTGTTCAGGAGTAGCCCTTTATATTTTAACCTCTCATACCAGGAGGAGGAAGAAAAGGTTTTGAATAAACAACGTACTTGTGTTTCCCTCATAATAAAATGGTAAAATGTCTACCTTTCTCGTACTTTCTAATCCTTTGGTCAGCGTATGGTCTTTGAAGCTCCATGAGATGGTGGGTGTCTCATGTGGCTGGACTTGGCTGCGCTTCCAGGCTGCAGTGGCCAGCTGCATTTTGTGCAGCGGTGAGGTCTTGTGTTGGGAGGTGGGACTGATTCCCGCAGGCAGGGTCCCTCCGGCTCTTCGGAGGTAGTGCTGGATGCCTGTGGGATGCGGGCAGGGTCCCTCCGGCTCTTCGGAGGTAGCGCTGGATGCCTGTGCGATGCGGTGTTACGCACTGCGTAGGTCGTGCTGGTTCATAGGCACCTAGGAAAGGTGATCAGGAAAACACTGAAGTCTGGCTTTTGTAAATTCCCAAGTGTTTTAAAATGCTTGAGACATGCTAGTGTATGTTAAAAATATGCTACAGAATTAATCCTTTAAGCAGTTTTTGGTTAATAAGTGAAACTGGAACTACAATAATCCTTCTAAGTAAAACTCAGAAATCTTCAGCAGATGTAAACTTGAGGCTCCTGTGATCTTGGGTGTACGTGAGAGAAGTCTGGGGAGGGTATGGCGAGAGCCTGAGTGGTGCAGGAGAAGGATTTGGGGAAGGCTAGGAGCAATATAGTCTTAAACTTCCCCTGTATTATTTGCATGTTGATGCTATTTCTTATTACTCTGCAAGGCCGTGTGTTCATGCAGATTTCCTAGGAAACATCCCCACCGTGCTTTTCTAGTCTGTCTGAGGCTGTTATTTGAGCAAAGGCTGAATCCGTGAATCAAGGATGGGAGTATCGAAGGGCAGGGAGGCTGCGCGAAGAAAACAGCATAGCGATGGGGAGCGCTTTGAAGGTTATTTGGCATTGCAGTTTATCTCTGCCCCTTGGTCTTAGGTTGTTCAAAAAGCTGATGTACTAGTTCTGGGGCTAAAGAAAACAGACTCATAGGATTTCAGCAGTGGATGCGTGAGCTTTTGAGTTGCTGGCAAAGCGTGTCTGAGACTCGAAGTATTCCCCATAGCATCTTCTGAGATAGCTGCTCAACTGCTGTGTGTGTGAAACTGCTGCTGGTTCCCTCAGTCTCCCCAAGTTTGAGTAGATCTTTTCGTGGATTCTCACATCTCTGGTGAATTCTGCAAGGACGCTGGGTCGCTGATGCGTCCTTGCTTGATGTCCTTGAAGTTTGGGTAGGGCTCCCGTGCTTTGCATTGGGTTTCAGCGCGAGTCTTTGCTCTCCATGGTAGAGGAGCGATTCTGCTCTAGGCGCAATCAGAAGCGCCTATGGGCTCTTTGTTTTCCCCCAGCACTTGGGCACCCTCCTGGACAAGTCTCAGAAGACCCTGTGATTTAGAAAAGAAGTGCCGTCTCCAGAGGGAGACAGACGTGCTCAGACTTCTGCAGTCTTTTTCCTTGCGCCTCGGCTGGCGCTTTGTTACGCTTCCCTCTCTCCCAAAGTGTGTGCGGCTTGTTGGAGATCCCTGGGAATTCTAGCAGGCTGCTACCCATGCTGCTCATCCCGCAGGGGTTTCCCCCAGTGACTCCCCCGCCCTTCTTCTGCGCAAGCCCTGGAGGCTGAATTCTTAGAGCTTAGGGCCCTGCCATCCCAGACCCATTAAAATGTTAATGGCTTCTTCCAGACAGGAGGGGTAACGCATAAAGTTTCTGTAGTTAATGCATGCTGATATTTGGGATTATGTATGCTATGTATGTCTGCCGTGTTCGTGCAGATGTGTTGCATTCCTTTTCAGTATCCCTTCTCTCCAAGAAGAGGGTTTTTTGTTTGCTTTTGACAAGTATTAAATCCTCCAGATTCCATTGATATGTTTTTTTCACGATATTGCATGCTCCTTAAAATGCCCTGAAGGTGTTAATTTAATGGTAATATTTTTATTTGAAGAAATTGCTACCCCACACATACCTTCTCTTGACAGCTGTGGTGTGGAAGTCTGGATTATTTTTTTTTTTATATGCCTTGTACCTTTTCCAACCTTTGACAGATTGTCAGCAACTTGTTTTATTCAGCTTTTTCAGGATAAGAAAATCACTTTGAACTTTCACACTGGACAGTAGCTGCTGGGTGTTTGGCACTGGGGTGGCTTTCCTACCCTTCCCAGCTGCAGAAGTGCCATTTGAACCATCCTGCTGCCCACCCACTCCTCGGAGCAAGGCTAACCCCCTTGCTTATGGGGGAGATGAGCCTCTTGCACTGCTGCGTCTGCCTGCATGTGCCTGTCTCTCTGTGACAAAAGCCTGGCAGGCTTCTCTGCTGCTACTCTTCTTGCTTCCACTGAACATGCCTACTGAGGACTCGGGCCGCGCCAGCCTGTAAAATCGATGGAGTTGCTGCGTACGGGGAGATTTGCACCAAATGTCTGTAGTGGCTCTCTAGCTGGCAGCAGGCAAGGGGATTCAGGTTAGCTGTTCCTCCGTGGAAGTGCTCTGGAACCTTGCGATATGGTCTAGTGTCAAAACCCCAAGTCTCAAAACAGCAGAAAAGATGCAAGTGTGTGTGCAGTGGGAGATTTGAATGGATTTTGCTAACCTTCACAGATGGATTATGCTGGTTCTGTTGCTGACTTCGCTATCAGTGGAGCTGAGATTTGTTACGTTGTGAACTGAGGAGCGATGGGTTTGCTGCAGTATCTACTGAGGAAATCTGTGTGTGGGCA